ATGTGCATTGTTCATGTTTATTTTCCAGTTTTTTAACAAAAGCATCTTTAGCTACATTTTCAATGAAGAAGGCACCAAGTTTTAAAATTCTACAATTTTTTTGTTTTAAAGCTTCTAATAAAAATCAGATGTGCAAGCCAAGCATTGTTTCTTAATAATACCTTTAAAAATGCAATAAAAGAGGCACTGTGCTCTTATAAATGCTGCAGATATCTTCCAGGATGAGTGTGGCTACATACGCCACACCGTCTCTGTATTGATCAAAGTAAAATGTACTGTTCCTAATTTCTTTTGGAAATTGCTTCACTTATATTTGAATAAACTCTGCAGTCAGGTCACGGTGTGCTACTTATAACCCCAGAATTTTATTATCAAGATTCATAAATTACACAGCATTTAGAAAAAAAATGCATATTTTAGAGTTACTCTTGACTTTTCATATGCCCCCAAGAGATTAATACTAAATGTATCAGATCTAAAAGAATGGGGATGAATTGGCCACAGGAACTCATCAAAGGCTTGAAAGCTTAATGTAGATAATTCTTCCCTCCTAATGCTTTGAACTTTGGTTAATGATTATTATAGATGAAAAAGAATTGTAGCTCACCACGTCCCCTAAAGATTTACATATGAAAATTCAAAGCCAGCAGGTAGACGTGGAAAATGGGCAAGTGTGCCCTCAATACCCCCCTAACTTGTTTCACATTCAAGCGGGGGATCTTTACAAGCCACTACAGTTGCATATTTTGAGTCTCTCCTCCTGAAAACTTCCCAGCCCTGGCTTTTTTTTGCCCTCCATTCCTACCTCCTCATATCCTCCAAATCAAAATCCCTTCCCCTGGTTTGAGATTTCTCAAGGACAGGTTTCTTCTGGACAACTAAATAAAGGTGATGCAAAGACATCTATATGTATTCCATTTCATCTATTGATAACATTCAGAGCTCTTCAACCTCAATAAACACCTACTATGTGTTAGGCACTTTCAACGAACAGTGAACCATGATCCCACAAAAGAATATCCCAGCCCTTGTGGGCCTTATTTTATGGGGGTGTGGGGAAGACAGCAAGAAACAACCAAGCAGATATGTATGTAGTGATCAATGTTGAAGAGAAAAATTAAGGGAGATGGGCAGTGTCAGGGGACCATTTTAAATAAAGGAGTCAAGAACAGCCTCACTGGGAGAAGGAATTTGGGCAATGACCTGAGCAAAGGAAGTGACCTATGTAGCTAATTAGGGGAACAACATTTAAAGAAGAGAAAAAAACGAGTCTAAAGGTAGGAACGTGCTTGCTTGTTGTAGGGAAGCAAGAAGCCTGAGGTACCTGTTGCAGAGAAAAGTGGTACTGGGGAAACTGAGCACGTGAGGTCCAACAGGGGTCAGGGAGGCAAGAGTGAGTAGAAGGGCTTGGCTGACGGTTTGAGCTGGAGTATCAGGATATGTTTCGAACACTGTAGAACGCTGAGACTTAGGCAGCCCAGTGGCTTGGACCACAGTGGCAGCAACAGAGAAGTGTGTGCAGTGTTTCGAGTCTTTGGGCACGCTGAACACGGACTTGCTGAGGCACTGGACTTACAGAGCTCCTAGCAAGTGCTCCCCACTTCTTTCTTCTCTGAGGTATGTATAGGTCTGTAAGCAAAGCATAGCCTATTTGTTTATTTTCCTACCTGAGGTATAGAGGATAGTGAGGGATCAGATATTTCTGGATACATCTCGAACTCTACCGAAACAAGGAGGGACTGATCATCAGTGGCCACACAGAATGACCAGACAGAGCACGAGTCTGACGGTGCCTCGTCCACTCGGGCCGCTGTACCAAATCACCATACATGGGGCGGCTTATAAACAACAGACGTTCCGTCCTCACTGTTCTGGAGTCTGGGAAGTCCAAGGCACAGGCACTGGCAGATTCAGTGTCTGCTGAGGACCGGCTTCCTGATTCATAGGTGGATGTCTTCTTAAATGGTGATAAGGAAAGGGGAGCTTTCTGGGGTCTCTTTTATAAGAGCATTGATTCTATTCATGAGGGCTCCCCCATCATGATCTAATTATACCCCAAAGGCCTCATCTCCTAATGTCATTACATCAGGAGTTAGGTTTCAGCATACGAATTTTGGGGGTAAGGGGACAAAGACATACAACCTATAGCAGATGGAGAGCTAGTGATAGAAAGTTATCAAATAGGGCAGCTGAGCTTCTTAAGATCTGATGTGCAACCACAACGTCTGGCCACTTAGGAGATGAAACCACTGGATCACCTTGTTAATTATAATGTGAAGGCAATGAAGAGAGAGGAAGAAAATAATCAACTACGGTAGGAAATCTGGTCACCAGGATCTGAGAGGTGGAGGGGAATGGAAGCCAAAAAAAGGGAAGACACTTCATCCTGTAGATAATAATCCAAACACCCCCTTTGGTATTTTCAGCCCCTCTTTAAGGCCAGGCTTCTCTAGCAAAATGAAACAAGCCATTCCTAGATCATTGTTTGCCATTTTGTCATTAGGAAAGCCACTGCATGTGCACGGGATAACAGGGACATAATACATCTGGTCCAAAATGACTGAACACCAGTAGTTTGGGGTGTTACAGAAATGGAGAGACTGGCTCAAGATTACTCGCAAGTGTTCACAGCTATGCTATCACAGCCTTCACGTATCACTGTTCCTAACTAGGAGATCTGAGACTTAACAGCTCCTTCCTGATGACAACAAAACCCCTTATTTGAATAGTGGAAATAGCTGGCGTCTCAGAAATGGTAGAAGAAATCTAGATTCACAGAGGTATACCTGGGTTCCTCTTTGGAAAGCAGGAAGTCTGGGAGAAGGCTGACCTTGGGCAGTGGAACTTCATTGTGGGACAGTGGAGAAAGGAAACACAAAAGATGCTACTCTTGACTTCCTTCCCTACTTACTTCATTCAGTCTTGCTTTGTGCTTTTTTCTTCCCTTACGTATGCATATGTGTGCCTACAAAACACAGCATACTCTTTATTTCTCTAAGCTGAGAAGCAATACACCTTTCCCTACTGCTTCTCATTAACTGTATAGACCAAGGTGTCAACACAGGCCCTTAATAAGACGTCGTGATGTCACCACTTGCACAAAAGGAGAGATTATTCACTTTCCCTCACCTAGCCAAATTTCTACACTCCTGAATCTGCTGGTTTCACATAACGATTTTAAACAGAAAGTAAACCCAACCCTGGCAAAGCTCACCAAGTGAGTACAAGAATCTTCAAGAAAGAAAACCAAAGCTAAAATAATCGATCACAAAAATAAGCATAGTTTCTCCACAGACAAAGGAGCAACATTTTCCCAATATGGAAATAACCAGAGCCTTGGGGAAAAAGAAGTGTTAACCATGTGCTTTTACACATTTTCATGGAAAGAGAAAAGAAACAGGCTGCCCATCAACCAGGACCATGAAAAACATATTGCCATGCAGAGGGAAAGACGTGCTTCATTTGTGAAACCAGATGGTAAACATACCTTGCATTGACCTTAACTTTCTGCTCCTGAAAGATGTATTTTAGCACGTCATTACTATTTTTACTACGGAAATCTCAGTACCACTAACAAAACTAACTGCAAGTCTACATTAAATTTAGTCATCAAACTTCAAGAAATAAATGAGTAGGTGGGACTTCCTCCTCCAATCATCTGTTTTCTGGCTTCTTCCCCTCCTTCCTCACCACACATTCCAAACTTTGAATGAGGATCTGTTGTGCATCAGCCACTGTGCCACACATACTGAGATCCAATCCTACCTACAAGGGGCTTCTATGCTGGGAGCAGGGTCTACTGTGCAAATTGAACTTTAACAAACAACAAGGTAAGTTCTACACTGAAGACTTAAAAGCAACAGCAAACAGTAGGAAACAAGAAGAGTGACTTCACATCAGTCAATTATTTTAAACAAGTAGCATATATACATATTATTAGGAAATTTACAAATTTTTAATAAGTATATAAACATAACCAGCATATATAGATATATATATATGTGTGATTTTTTTTTCCCTTGGAAAAAGTGTTATTTGTACCTTTGTTAGATAATCTAGACAAGTTCAAACTCAATGAACTTGTGTTACCTACTTGTGAATGGGTACAACGATCAAGGCTCACCTTATGATAACACCGAAAATACGCGGCACGCTCATCAGAAAATTTCTCTCAAAGGAGCAACATTTTCCCAATATGGAAATAACCAGAGCCTTGGGGAAAAAGAAGTGTTAACCATGTGCTTTTACACATTTTCATGGAAAGAGAAAAGAAACAGGCTGCCCATCAACCAGGACCATGAAAAACATATTGCCATGCAGAGGGAAAGACGTGCTTCATTTGTGAAACCAGATGGTAAACATACCTTGCATTGACCTTAACTTTCTGCTCCTGAAAGATGTATTTTAGCACGTCATTACTATTTTTACTACGGAAATCTCAGTACCACTAACAAAACTAACTGCAAGTCTACATTAAATTTAGTCATCAAACTTCAAGAAATAAATGAGTAGGTGGGACTTCCTCCTCCAATCATCTGTTTTCTGGCTTCTTCCCCTCCTTCCTCACCACACATTCCAAACTTTGAATGAGGATCTGTTGTGCATCAGCCACTGTGCCACACATACTGAGATCCAATCCTACCTACAAGGGGCTTCTATGCTGGGAGCAGGGTCTACTGTGCAAATTGAACTTTAACAAACAACAAGGTAAGTTCTACACTGAAGACTTAAAAGCAACAGCAAACAGTAGGAAACAAGAAGAGTGACTTCACATCAGTCAATTATTTTAAACAAGTAGCATATATACATATTATTAGGAAATTTACAAATTTTTAATAAGTATATAAACATAACCAGCATATATAGATATATATATATGTGTGATTTTTTTTTCCCTTGGAAAAAGTGTTATTTGTACCTTTGTTAGATAATCTAGACAAGTTCAAACTCAATGAACTTGTGTTACCTACTTGTGAATGGGTACAACGATCAAGGCTCACCTTATGATAACACCGAAAATACGCGGCACGCTCATCAGAAAATTTCTCCAGTCTTTTTGGACCTTTGCTAGAAGCTTTCTTGAATACTAACCAGCATCGTTGATAAATCTGGAAGGAAATACAAAGACAAAACTCAGCAACACTCCTGACTCAGATATTACTGACATTTGCATTTAAATGTTTTCTTTTTGACGTTTCTACCTGTCAAATAAATATTCATGAGCTACCAAAGTGATGTTACTTTGGGAAAATAAAATTTTGAAACTCAAAACTGTTTCCACAATGGGCATATTGTATCATTCAGAAAATTACTGAAATCAAAAGAAAATGAGTATTTGAAGGCAAATTTCTTCATGTTTCAATAACAATATCAGCAGGAACATTTCAGAAAAAGTCGCAGAGGTAAAAATTCCAAATCAGCACAAATGATACAGGACTTCACAGCACAGGCACTAATTTCAAATTAGGTATGGAAATTTAAACTTAAATATGGAAATCATGGGCTCAATATATGCTAAATACTACCTTGGCAGTCCTAGAAAGAGAATGCCCCTCTTTGTCCTCATAACTGATGGTCAAGAGTTGGGCCAGACACTAGACAAGCTAATAAATGGCTGATGAACACCAGATTCTCTCTCAGAAAATTAAACCCAGAAAGTCAAAGATTATGGCCAGACTGAGGTGCAGTTTGAGTTGATGGATCAACACTGGTAGGTTATACACCGAGGCTGTCCACCATGCTGAATCATGTGCATAACAGTTAAGCAGTAGAAACTGGTACAAAGAACTATCTAAGGAAAACACCCCAAATGCCAATAATGAAAGAAGAAATTCTGTACTCAAGTGCAGATGATAAAAAAAAACTATTGAATCACGATTGTCTCTTTGATTCTTAAATCGCCCTCAGAGCACCATAGATATGTGGTTTTGTATATTCAACCCATAAATACATTTTATGCACTATAAAGTTTAAGAACTTCTGAGCTAGTAAAAAGAAACAAAACAAAGTCTACATAAAACATTTGGTCATTTAAACCACACTCAGTTTTAAATGCCTCTTATATAACTTTGGTAGTAACTGGCAAATGGATGAGAAATTCAGTTTGCTGCTGCTTGTCAGTAATGCTGAATATATTCCCTTTTTCTCTCCTGACTCAGTATATTGAACATGCACTAATTGTTTTGTTTGGGGTGGTAAAAAAAAAAATGAAATCCACTCTACTCTGAAGTTTAGCTTTGAATACAGAGGGTAAGATATGTGTCTAGTCTCACTTAGCAGTATTATTTATAATAATGTAAATTAGAACTAAATCTTCAACAATGAGGAATGACAAAGTATAGTATTTCTTTAATATATAGTATAATATATATAAGTCATCAATAGGCTAATATAGGTAATTGTACATACTAAACATGTACAGATAATGATAGTAAATATGTAATCCATAATATATCTATAGTACATATTTTTAATATAGATGTACATCTATAAAACAACATAGATATTACATTAAAAATACAGAAATATAAACAGTATACTTAATATATATAATAAATTATGCTTCACCAGTAAAAATATGTTATCTTTCTATAGGAAACAGATTTCAGAAAGAATTTTTAATGACATGAGAGTTTTCATAAAATGTTATGTGAGGGAAAAAAGCAGAAAAGGGGAAAATTTTATGTCATAATCCCCACTATATTAAAAATGCATGGAAGAAGACAAAGAAAATATACCCAAATGTTAACAGTGGTTTTTTGGGGTCATAAGAATAGGTTTTGTCTATTGGTAGTTTATGTCTTGTTCAATAAAAATTCACAGCATACATTAAATGAAAGAGAATTATGTTAATTATTAAATATCCAGAGGTATCAGTAAAATAGTATAATTAATATCAGTTGTATTGGCTCTCATCTTGCACAGTCATTGAACTTACCAAGGGATGTCAAACATGAAGACCAGCTGGAAAAGTATTCAATGGAGGAAGGGTAACCTTTTACACAAAGGCCACTGGAACAACTGAACATTCCCAGGGAAAAAACAAATAAACAGATACTTCAAAACACACACACACAAATTAATCCAAAATGAATTTAAATGTAAAAGAAAACTAAAAAACTGAGGAAAAAAGGAGGAAATGTTTGATATCATAATTGGACAAAGAATTCTTAAGACTTCACACCAAAGCATTAGCCATACAAGAAAAAGTTGCCTAATTGTACTTCCTCCAAACTGACAACTTTTGTTCTGTGAAAAGACAAGTACGGGCTGGGAGAAAATATCTGCAAAACGCATCTCTGACAAAGGATTAGTATCTAGAATATATAAAGAACTCTCAAATCTCAACAGTAAAGAACTGAACAGTCCAACCAACAGGAACCAACATTTCCCCAAAGAGGATACACAGATGATTAAGAAGTACAGGAACAATGTTCAACAAACGTATCAGCCGTCAGGGAAATGTAAATTAAGCCCACAATGAACTATCACTAAAGACATATCGGATTGACTGAAATTTAAAAAATAGTAATATGACCAACAAATGCTGACGAGGACATAGACGAATGAATCACTGATATATTGTTGGTGGGAATGGAAAATGATCCAGCCATTCTGAAACACAGTTAGACAGTTTCTTTAAAAACTAAAAAAAGCAGCATTCAACCAGCAATTGCACACTTAGGATTCTCCCCCGGAGATAGACAAACTTCCCCCACATAAAAAAATTCTGGACATGAATGTTCACAGCAGCTTGCCATAGATCATGCAAAACTGGAAACAACCCATGCATTCTTCAATGAATGAATAGTAAAACAAACTGTGGCCCACCCAAAGTATGGAATCCCACTTAATCTAAAAACAAATGAACCATTAAGACTGCAACAGTTTGAATGAGTCTTCAGAGAAGGATACTGAGCGGAGGAAAAAAGCCAAACCAAAAGTTTATATACTGCATGACTGCACTTATTGCATTCTTGAAATGACAAAATTATAGAAATGGGAAACAGATTAGTAGTTGTCAGGAGCTAGAGGCATATGAGGGAGCAAAAGAGAAGGGAGTATGTCCGTCAGGGTAACATGAGGAATGCTTGTGGTGATGGAACTGCCCTGTGCCTTGACTATATCAATGTCAGTGTCTTGGTTATGATATTGCACTGCAGTTTCAAAGATGATACCGCCAGGGAAACTGGGTAAAGAGTAGATGATCTTTGTGTAGGTATTTCTTACAATTGAACATGAATCTACAATGATCTCAAAATAAAATGCTTAAAATGTTTAGATGGAAAAATGTAGAAATATTTAACCAAAATCTCTTACAATTACAGCCTGATGTAGCAATAGTTACACACGTTCTTCTCCAGCCCTGCTTCTTTTGATGTCAGACCACAACCTGACAACCAGCGCCAGATGACGTAACTTTCAGAAGCAAGTTACAAGAGCCACTGGTAAGAGGTCAGACACAAAATCCTTTTCAGGATGGAGAGCCAGCCATGAAAACTGACATTTTCAGTACTACGGCTGGTCAAGAGAAGTCTCGGCAACATTGTGCTTTTATCTGAATAACAGATGAGACAACTGGTTCCCTTAAAATGTGACTGCCACAGGAGGACTGTAATTACAATGGGAATGAGTGTCACTCTGATTGTTCAAATAAAGCATGTGGAAAGTAGGTCTCTCACTGTCATTGTATTATTGACAATCCTCTCTTTTGTACCAGCCCTTGAAAATATGTTAGAAATTGAGCACATTAAAGGTGTGTAAGAAATATGCCCACTATGGGAGAAACATTATTTTCCCTTAGAAAGACATTTTACATTTCCCAATTGTCCTTCCACTTTCAGATTCCATCTCTAATGAGTGTATTTCTAACTATTTTTTATATGTTTATTTTCTTCACAACCGAAGGCTGTCGAATTCCAAAAGATTCCTCTTTTTCAGCATGCCTAATGATTTCTACCCGATTCATCTGTATTAAGTTTAAGAGTCTTTTGTTTCTCACGTTTTTTGTTTTTCTTTTGTTTTATTAACTTGTAAAGGCAAAAGTAGTGTTATAATCAAATAACTGCAAAAATACTATCATATAAATTCACATGCAACGTTGCTGACAATTCTTGGCTGAGATATGACTAGGGAAGAAATTGAAAAACATTGGTTCATCAGGAGATAAGAGAAACCAAAATTTGGTTTATGAAAGGGAATTCAAGATGTTTGTAACTTGCAAATATATGGCACAAAAAGTGCAAAAGCTGAGAGCAGTCTGTGCAATCAAGGACATTCCTTTATTTGGTCACACATCATCCACCACTGATTCTCAGAGTTGGCCCAGCATCACTCAAGATAATTGTTAATTATGCAGATTCCTAGAAATTAGGCAAGGTCTACTGAATCAGAAACTCTAGGAGTGGGTCCAAATTTGCTCTTTAGCACATTCCCCAGGCATTTTGTTTGTACTTTGCAAATGAAAGCCATAAATATTCATAAGGACTTTCAGACAGCACCATGCTTCCCACTTGGGACTGCCGACCAGGAGCTCGCCGACAAATGCTCGGTGAAGAGCGGCTCTGAGATGTGTGCTTACCAACAAGTGGTGCACGGTGGCCTTTGAAGAGAGCAATGTGACATGCCATCCTGAGTTGGAGAGACTCACAGAAGGTGAAACTTGGACCTGCTGAACCACAGGGAACTCCCAATTTCAACTGCCATACGTGCTCTGTCCTCAGAACACTAGGAGAACCACCTAGTATCAGAGAATTAAAAACAGCCTAAATATTTCAGTAGTGTTTGGAGGTCATGAAACAGGAGGACTCAGCCAACATGGTAACATGGTAACACGCAGGGACCAGCTGGAGTAACACTGACTTTGTTAAAAGTGGAACAGTTTGAGAAGAGTCCCAATCCATCATTTAGGGCAGGTTTTTCTTAAAATTCATTCATTCAACCATCACCTTCATAGCCTATTTAACACATATACTTACCATCTAAATTACCTTTTACTTAAAATTTTTCTTTCAATTGGTATTTTTTAACTAAAATTGTTTTTTATTTAAAAGAGGAGACTTTATCCCAACCATAGCAGCAAAATGTAGTTTCACTGGACATAAAAAGT